GACTACAGACACACCTCTTCACACTCTACCTCCACTAACACACTGTACACACAACTGTAGCACTTATATTGGGCTTATAATGGTTCTTATCTACAGCAAGTTGTAAATTGGCTTATTTGATGAACTTTCTTGTTTCTTGTTCTTCTGAGTTTGTTTCCTTATGGTCGAATGCACTTATTGTCGCTTTGGATAAAAGCGTCTGCTAAATGACATGTAATGTAATTTGAAAAAGTGTTACGCATAAATATGAGCTTAGTGTGTAAATCACATATCTTTGTCTTTAATTTAGCCCCTCCATCTTATTGAGCCCAACCTTTTCCTCGTTCTAGGTCTGACTTTGCAACACACCTAAACAATTTAGATTGATGAGTAACAGTACAGGTAAAAGGGAAAATAAATGATGCATCTGCTCATTACGTATTGTGCTCATAACCTGCTGATTTGTTTTTAATTTCTTGTGCCCTGGTTCTGATTTGGTCTGGTTTTGAATTCCAGTTTTTTAAATAGCGGCTACTTTTCAACACTTGGTAGTAGTAGTAGTATTTTAGACCAAAACTTAAAAGTCTCAATGTTCCTGGTCCAGGTAGATTTAGAATGGGAGATATTCACAGTGGCTCAGACGAGGCAGAGGGGATCATCTGGATATGTTGTTTGGATTTTCTGGTATACTAATAACATTAGGGGGTGTGAATGAAATTCAAAGTGGTCGAAAGCGCCTTAAAAAAGCTATAATTAGAAAGTTCTCTTGGATTTTGCATGCACCTTTGAGACAGTCCCCATCTAGTGTGAAACTGCACCCAGCGCCCTCTGTTTGCCAGGAGGTACGCTTGTATTCTTTAGTTTCAAAGGGAAGAGGCACACTCAAGTCTTAGTATATATATATATATATATATATATATATATATATATATTGTTTGAGCAGAATTATTCATCACAATTTGGATTAGAAAACTCTGCGTTAATGAAAAGACAAAGCGAGAGCTGACCTGCAGGTTCTTCAAGCAGCAGCCTGATCCAACTCCGTCTGTGAAGTTTTTCTCGCCGGGTTTGGCTTATTTGGCTTTGTAGCACAGTCCTTCACCGCTGTCCAAACACACACACATAGTGGGCTCAGTCCATTGCTGGTCACTGTCTGAACTGTGAGTGATGTACGGTCTGTCTACTGTCCTCTATCGATACCGTGGACATAACAAAGCACTGCAGGCTGCTCCATTTACACGCACACATCCTCAGGGAGGAACAGCTTCAATCTGGAGGTTAGGATGATGCATTATGAGATGTGGAAACTGGATTCCTCAATGTGACCTTGGACATTTAGAGAAGGTTTCATTAACAGTTATTGTCTGTTCTCCACCTGCTTGAGCTCCACCTCAACTCACATCCGTGCTCAGTGGTGCAATAAAATAAACTACTGATGTAGTGATGTAGCAAACCATGTTTCCTTATATTAGCCAATACAAAATGCAGACATGCGTTTAAAACTATGAAATTAAATTAGAAAACTCTCGGCATTATGATTAAATATGTATCTTATGCAGGTATAGACAATGCGTTCATATCTTTTACATTTGGCCCATGCATGGCCGGCTAAAGTTGGGCCGCATCCATGTTATGAATGATTTTTTACTATGTGAGTGTGTGTAGAGAACATAAAGTGCAGTAATTTCACGCTCCTCTTGCTTAGGGGGAGCTGCAGCCTCTGATCGTCCACCCAACTCCCTCTGCTCTAATGACTGGATCATTAATTGCCTCTTTCATGAGCTGTGGGCCTCTCCCACCGGTTTCATATCAGAGCGTTCACATGAAAATCGGATCAATCCGATTCATGAGCTCCTTCTGGTTTTATTGTAGGTACTCAGTGAACTTCTGAGGCTTAAGGAGAACAGAAGGAAAAGTGCACATGTCGTCAAAGATTGCATATGTGTTTTAGACGGACAGAGACATTCTTTAATTGTCTTGGCATTGTTTATAGTATGACAAGAAAGAAGCCTACTCCTAGTTTGAGCATGTGGGTACTAAATGACGTCTGATCCATGGATCCCTGCAACTGCACCGCGTATTGAAATGTCTTCACCAGCTTTAGTGGTCGTGATAAATGCTTTCACCTAGTTTCAATGCAAAAGCACGTCATTATTAGACGCTCAGAGGAAATGAAACTGCGTAACAGAATCCACTAAGGCTTAGACAAACAAACACATGGCTTTTAAATGCGTTTGAGTTATTTTTATTGATGCTACATCATTGAGTCACATGAGGTTGCGGCCGCAGCTCAAGGTTTTTTTTATCCCAAAAACATAAACTCAGGCCATGATGCTTTTTTTATTCCAACAGGTCTTGTTGCCTAAACCCGATTTGCACCGTTTCACAACGTTAACCGTGTGTTTTAACATCAACCGTGACCTTTTCACAAATGTATTAATTTTACAATGTAAAAGGGATTGTTTCACAATGTATTAACGTGTTATAATGTTATTGACGTGTGTGTGACGGAATGTTTATTACACATATTACACATATTAGAACGTTTATTCGTGACCGTTTCACAATGCAAAGACGGTCAAGGTGGATGCATCATTCTACTTTACAGCTAGTTGGGGTTGGGTAAGGATGTACAACTTTAATTCAGGTATTGCACTTAGTCCAGTGGGGGACTGAAAACACAGACCAGGGAGGGAGAGAAATAGGAAGATGTCTTATGGGGAGACAAGAACAAGGGGTTGAGGGTGGGAGGCTGAACAGAGCAGGGCAGGCGGACCGGGGGAACCGGGGGGACCGGGGGAACCGGGGGAACCGGGGGAACCGGGTGACGTGAGCGATGTAACATTCAGCCAGCATAGCTTGGAAATGTGATGTATTATCTTAAGTTCCTAGTTGAATGAGCTATGAATCCTATGCAAGAAAAAAGTCTGTGCATACACGTTAATACATGTTTAACGTGTATGCACAGACATATTTGTGACATTTATGACCAGCTTTCAAACCTCAGATGACATTGAAACTATATCTGCATTGCTGAATCCCATTCCATCCATGACAGGAGGCATAGTGGTCCCTACGCTTACGTCACTTCCTGTTGCATACGACAGCTGGTGGCTCTGTGGGACTGAGGGGTGTCACCATCTCCAACAAAAATTAATCCTGATGGCCTGTTTTAACCATCTGAAGCTGCTACGCAGTGTCTTCCTCACTGACCGTGTCTCCTCCCTCGCTCCTCTCAGCATCATTTTACTTCCTGTCTACTTGTTACTCACATCTCCCACTCTGACTCATTTTCTTTCCTGTTTTCTCATTTTATAGGATTACCACACCTTCTTCGCTATCTTATTTCTCTTATATTTGTTTTCTCTGTTCCTGCATCTACTCTTAAAAAAGGTTCCTGCAGTTGTACATGTTTTCGTGGCCCCGGACTACAGGGACATGTGTCCAGCTGTTCCTTGGGGGCGAGGACCTTTGTAAGTGTAGTGACCCCGTTCAGCAGTGTGTTCTGTACAGTGTCACGTCACTCTCGTCACGCTGGCCAATCAGGGGGAGTTGCTAGACAGGGGGTGGCCAGTGATTGGGGGAGACGGTGGGAGGCGGGTGTTCCCGTGTTCTGGGGGGCTAGTCATGTTGGCTAGACGGGTTCTATGTTGTTGTTGTTGTTGTTGCTGTCTGGAGTATTGAGGGAGTGTAGCGACAGCGTGGGGGGGCATGTTGTCTGCTGCTGGAGAAACAAATAAAGGATTTCTACCAGAACGTCCATTCGCCTGCGTGTGCTGAGTGACCCACTACACCCCGACGCTACAAGATTATCAATAAGTTATTGTTTTGTTGTTGTGTGTAAGTTATTCCTGGAGGCACTTACCGTCTGTGACAGCAGCACGCCATCATACCAAAGACGTCTGAACAGTCCGTGGTTGGCTGTTTAGTTCTGTACATGACAACTGGTTCTCCCTTGACCTATGTGTTCAGGTAAAGGTACAATAAGTATACAAATACATAAAAAACTAAGTGGTAAGCAGCCATGTATTTCCATTGGCTCTTTCTCTTGTCTCTCAGTCTGGAGGTAATTACAGATGCTCTTGCTTACGTTTCCGAGGGGTTTTGATTGTGTGTCACAACGTAAACCGTCTACGCCAGAGGTCTTCAACGCTTTTCAAGCCAAGGTCCCCCAAACTGATGGCGAGGTGGAGCAGGGACCCCCTATTCCACGGAGTTTGGTCCGCCATCTTTTATTTTTGAGCTTCACGCTCTTTAGATGTGAGCATGAATGGATCTGATTGGCTGGTGCCTGCGTGGTCGTATCGGCATGAAAGGAGCAGTGAGGGAACCGGTGAGCAGCTTGGGAGCTGCTGAGGGAAGCTGAGTGTGTGTGTTGTGGACTGACAGATAAAGTCTTCTCCATCAATTTATCCGTTCGCTTCAATATGTTGGATTCATGTTAATGTGTATTTAAAGAACATAAATAAAATTCTGATTCTGAAGACATTTACATTTGTGGGGGAAAAATTGTTTAAAATTTTTTTCTTATCAACCAAAAATTTCACGACCCCCCTGCAGTACCTTCGCGGACCCACAGTGTGTGTGTGTGTGTGTGCACAGCTACTTGATGTGAAGCTTTAGGATCTTAATCTGTATGTCTGTTTGACAGCCTTGTCCAATCTTTTGCGATTCCCTCGGTGTGTCTGTGCCTGTGTTTGTGTCTCATCAGGCCTTGAGACCAGTAGAAAGGTCACAGTTGATGTCAGCAGCGAGGGAAGCCCGTCCCCCTGTCTGGTGTCTACATGTCTCCACACATGGGCTTGCTGTGCTTCGGCGTGAACAAAATCAGAAATGCCCGATAAAGACGGACACGTTCAATCTATTATGTTTGCAATGTTCCAAATACCTGGTCCTTCATGTTTAGCATTTATGTCACATATTGTAAAAATAATAATGTTGAATATCCCCCCCCCCCCCCCTCCACCTCGGATGCTGCTGTGCTGCGTCAATTTAACGCGACACGTCGCTTTCTTAAAATAGGGAGGGGGGAGTGAAGGAGACGGCGGCACCGAGGATGGAGACGAGGAGAGGCGTCCTACCGCGCACCAAGCCGCGTGTCGTCGCGTCACCTTCATCGCCTCGAGGTTATGACGCCGGTTGTAATCTGAGCCTGCAGAGGAAAAGAACCCTAAGACCCCTCCCTTCCTCCCCTCCTCCCCCCTTCCTCTTCCTCCATCCTCGGCGCTCCATTCTGGACTTTCAATGCGTCATACTCCGTCCTTCCTGCGCGCGTCTTTTTCTTCCGCTGACGCGTCGCCTCCTACGTTCAGGCCATGAGAACGGCTCCACGCGCGGACAGTGTGGCCTCGATAGCCTCCTTTGGAATGCGCCGATAAAGACGTTTCCCCCCGTGCGGCCTTTTCCATCTCTGCGCCTTCTGTTCGCCGCACATGCGTTGCCGCTGCCGCTGCCGCGCCGCCGCCTCTCTTCTCCTCCTCGCAATTGCATGGACTCTTCCATTCGCCTGAAGCGCGCGCGTCGTCACCTCCGCGTCCGCGCCGCTCGCTCTGCCGCTGATGCGTTGCGCCCGGGGGCTCCCCGTGCTCTCGCCGTGGGGGGCCCGGTGTCCGCAGAGAGGCAGGATGGTGCGGATCGTCAGCGCGCTGGGGCTCGTCATGTTCAGCGTGGCGCTGCTCATCCTGTCGCTCATCAGCTACGTATCCATCAAGAAGGACTTTCTGCTCAGCACCCCCAGATACGGAGCGAACGGCGGACCCAGGATGTCCATGCTCCATGCGGGCTTTCGGTGAGTTCGAGCTGCACAGCATGGAATCAGCTGACAGCGTTAGGGTTTTGTGTTTAGGACATTCAGGTGTGTACATGCCGACACAGTGAGCACGTGTGTACACTAATGTCTCCTACCTCCACATGTGATGTTTCTCACTATTTCCTTTTTAAATGTGGCTTCCCAGATGGGCGCTCCTCCCTCAGGTTGTGCGTGAAGTGATGAAACCGAGGTGGAGGCCTCTGTGCTGCCTGAGGCCCGGTAGCTCTCAGCATGTCGGCCGTTTGGTTGATGCAGTGTGAAGTTATTGTAAAAACGTTGGGTATCGTAGAATTGAATCAACGCTCGTGTTTTTTACCGATGCGGCTTATCGGTTGTTTCTGGACAGTTAACCAAAAAAGAATCAACGTTTCTTTATAATTCCTGTGTTTTCATATGTTACAGCAGGCATGTTTCAATGGCTCACTATAGTCAACCTTTCTATTTCAACGGTGACAGCAAATGTAAATAAATCAAAGCTCAACCCAACTCTTAGCAACAAAGGGCCGAATAAAGGTCCACAGCAGAGCTGTGCCCCTTATTGGTGTCTGTGTGTAGCTGCTGCACACTGACGGACCCCCTGGGGTGCAGGCTCTGCCCATCAGCTCAGGTACACCAACCATCGGTTTGTTTGCTGCTATTTCGGTGCCTCGAGTTCGCTGATTCGACGTCTGACTCGTCCCCTCTGATACGTCGTTTGTTTCACAACCAATAAACAGAAGTTAGCATATTTGGAATGTTGAGTAGAGACGTAGCGAAGCGACCATGGTAGCATCAGTGACCTGTCAATCACAATAAGCCCGCCCTGAAGTATGCGCTTATGTTCTATTTGACTCTAAGTGGACCGTAACTTACTATTGAACATTATACTTTATTGAAGAAGATTGGAAACTAGAGATTGAGATCATGAACTCATGTTGATACTGAGGAGCTTTTCCCTCATAATGTGATCTGTGTGTAGAACATGTCAGTGTGTGAGACATCTGTCACTTAATCCTACAGCCTTGAACTCGATCAGCTGACAGCTCTCCTTGACTTCATATGCTGCCGTGTTTACAAAGGTTTTATGGTTTTAAGTCAGGTACTAACAGCCATCTTCCGCATTATGTGGCTCATAGAGGGAGCTCACCAGGGTTTCCTTTAATTCTGCCGTCCAGGCTTTGGCGCTTGTTCTGGAACTCATTCCCAAGGGAGAAAGTAACAATGATTGAAGCTATCAGAGTCATTTTCTGATGATACATGAAGAATGTCTTTTTAGGCCACATGGCATCACATGATGGACCCGGAAGTTGTAATTCTACAGTTTGGCCTCCATGTAAAAAGTTATGTCTGTTCTGCTCCAAGGCGTCACATGACTCCCTCCTGGCTCCATCTGATGGTCGGATCTGAAATCCCTCACAGACCTGACCGATCCCTGTTCACTAAATACTACACTACATTCCATGATCACAGCTTTCACTTAAAGCTTCATCATGAAAACATAACATAGCATGTAGAACAACATCACCTCTTAACCATTGTGTTTAACTCAGATCCATGTGGTCCAAAATCAGAATATTTGCCTGGCAGAGCTGTCCTTCATGGTTCATGCTCCTTCACTACCTGACAGGCGAAAAAACTCCCAAAAACCCTCTTTGTGGAGAAAAGAAATCCATGAAGGACGGCAATAAGCATCCGTCCCCAGGTTTTAACATTACATGGCCGGATGTTAATGTGTACAGTTATTATATGACTTAAATGACTAAGAATTGTGTTGGATTCATATTGCAATTATTTAATCTAACATGCTAATGTAACAACTACAATTCTAACACCAACCATTACAACACGTATTATAATTTTTACCAGTAGGGGTGCTCTACTGCTTAAATCCCTAACAGGCCATTCTTATGCTGCAATATTCATTCCAAAACATGTTCCATATTGTTTGTGTTTCTTGCCTTGCTCGGGCTGAATGATGAGGTCACAGAGGTCACAGAGGTCACCGAGTGAGTTTCCAAGGGAAAAAATCCAATGAACAGAAGTCTCCACGATGACATGTTGATGTTCAGCAGGCATCGGCCTCTTGCTACCATGAATGTCAAATCTCATGGCCATTCATGGAGTAGTTGATGAATGACCACAGTGATGGACGGAACAACGTTTCCCTCCACAGAGCCGCGATACTAGCGTAGCTTTACATTAGCAAGGGTTGGAAAGTTAAAGCTTTAAACCACATTTTTCACTTGATGTTCTGCTGGATAAAAAGTCAAAGGATCTCAAAAGGTCATCAGGATTCATCCTCTGGGAACCATGAAAGTGTGCTCACCTGTGTGTGTGCATGCGTGTCTGTGTGTGTCCATCGGGGCAGAACTACAAAGAGCAGTTAAGTTAAGGCTTTCTTTGAGGAGTGGGGCTCCCCCAATATGATGGTAGGGGAGACAGTGATATTATATGACTTCTTATTAAGTGAATGCGTGTGGAAATTACTTACATCATTCACCTTCACATTTTATTTTAAATGTATTCACACAGCAAGTGATCAAAATATCCTGTACTAAGCTTTATTTTTGAAATATTTGCATTTTATTTGGTAGCAGTTGGTAATTGCAACAAAAAGGTGACAACTATTTAAATGACCACCACCTCAGCTGTTATATCACAGTAATTGTTTCGTTGTTAGAATAATATAAAATCAAGTATTTGGAACCCAGGTTACTACTGCATGCCAGGTCTTTATAGAATCAAATTCCTATATATATATATGTATATATAAGTATTTCGGGTTTTTCTCTCTGTCGATAACTGTCATTTGCTTCACTGGTGATGAGTAAGACAAGGGTTCATGTATTGTTTTTACATTCCTACTGCAGCGAGAGGCCGCCTCGCAAACCTGACCTGAGGTGAATACAGAGGCCGACGTTTGAATTCAGCACACAAGGATGTACTCTGTCTTTCCTTCCCCACTATGTTAATATTCATATTTTGTCATGGCAGCTTTATCTATCAACGGTGTGATACTGAGTATCCATCTGTTTCTGTCCCTGATGAGATACCAAGCAAAGGCTCCATGACACCCGCATTTGCACTGTAGTCTTTTGGATGGTTGGCCGTTGGATTTGAGAAAGCATGAAATAGCTAATTTGGAGGAATAATAAATGTTTTAAAAAATAGACACAATTTGAAAAAATACTTTTTTCACTAAGAAAAAGTCTGTCACAATTTTAGCTATTTTAGACAAGTTTATTTTTGTATTCGTTGGATTGATCATCTGCACATCTGGAGCTCAGCAGCATAATACTACTGAGTTCCCTAGGTTTTTTTTAAGTGGTAAATTACACTGAGGCACAGTTAGACATCTGTATTGGATGCAATTTCCTTTCAAACTAATTCAAACTTAAACCCATTGCAAAATATGTTTTTATAAAGGTGTTAGAATGAGATCATTTCACATAACAAAATTGGTGAATGGCCATATCACTGGTATGACACTAAAGACACAGCTGTTCATGCTCCGTGTTAAACCAAGTCATGGTTGACTTCTTTAACACGTCCCAAACTGATGCTACAGAGGAACTCGAATGATTCATGCAAAGTGAGACCTTCCCAGATGCAACGTGCTCAGCTTTAGTGTTCCCATTGTATTCTTTGAGCCGGTAGCTGCAGTATATCACGTTGATACGGATTCAGCGCTGAACCTCTGGCTTATTGTCGCTGGCTTCAAAGATGGCGAATGGTGCAACAACACGAATAAGCTTCTGACCGCCATGCGATCCCTGTGGAACAGTATTTACACATACTTTCCAAGGTTTGTCTTGGACTGGAGAAAAACTGCAAGCCTAGCTGTATCAATGAGGAAATGAAACCTCCACAAACAACTCCAATACTGTACACAAGTTTGATCTGTTCTAGCTGATACTGCTAGCTGACAGATATCACATGGAACCTTTACATTTCATACACTCAGGACAGGAATTAGAGGGTAGGAAGTCCCATTCATGACCTTATACATGGTATGGAAATCCACTACCTAGATAAACAGCTAGCCAGCCCTGGCTGCACAGTACACCGTCTGATGCCTGGTCCTTCTGATACCGCGGGTCGATAGCTAACAAGCTAGTCACCACCGGTCCTGCTGTACGCAGGCTTTGGGTTTCCGTAGAGTTGACGGATCTCAAACTTGGTCCCTCGCAATCAGGAACGGATTTTTGAGGTGTATCGACTGCTAGAACTACAGTGTTTAATTTTCAACATGATAGTTTTACGGCTCAATAAACAAGAGGCAAATAAATCGTGTAGCATTGGAGTTGTTGAAAGGAGGATTATTTGTATCTTCTGGAGGAGAATGTGCTTCCACTCTTTGTGCTACGCTAGGCTGAACACACAAATCAATGAATACATAAGTAATCTCCTGGCTAAGTCTTGTTTGTTATATTTACAGTTGTAGTTTTAGAAGAGGTGAAGCTTCTTAAATGCCAAAAAAACCCAGTGTTCATCTTATCAAGTGGGTCGACCTCATGTTCAGCCTTTCAATTAGATTCAATTTACCAACAAGGCAACGTCATTTGATTTCTCATGCATGTTTAAATGTCTTGAAATGCATCAAACAAGGTATCATTTTAAGATCTGGCCAGTTGTTTTAAAACTATCTTGAATGGTTTTATGTTTCACCCTACATACACAGTCTTAAATGAACTACAGGGACTTGCTAAGATGGACCAAATGCCTGCAACAGTTTCCCCCTCGCTGCTCATCCTCCCACAATAAATGATTTGATTCTCGACGCGAGGCTGCGTTTACACTGAGCTGATAGTGTAAACAAAAGTGTCTGAATCCGTTTTTTCACTGCAGTGTTTCCTACAAAAAACCTCACAGATCCGCTTGCATATTTCAATTGGCTTCTTTTGGAGGCATTTCAACTTTATGGTAATGGTACTGAAATATCACATGTCAGTCTTTTTCTGCAGAGCTCAGGAGAAAAAGATTTAATGTAATTTTGCAGTTTTGCTACAACGACATCAAGAAACACAAGCGGTCAGGTGACCTCACTTTTGGTCTCAAAGTGTTTAGTTTGAAACAGACATGAAAGATATTAAAACTAAACGAATTAGGTAGTTAATCAAATCTCAATGTATTTCCTGTTACTTATTATGGTTATTGTCAATAAAAAAACATGATGGCACAATTTCTGCTCCTTGGATGCAAAAAAAGTCAATCCGATCTCAGATTTAGAAGAAATTACTGAAGATTTCTGTATTTTAGCGAACAACTCCAAATAATGTAGTTTCAATAACGTTGCTGAGGTGCTGGCCTATTTACGACCTGACTGCTTGTATTTCTTGGCTGGTCCAACAAATTATTTTGCTACAAACATTTTAACGCATTTGAAGTGAATGAAGACGACCTGCTCGTAACACCTGATGGGTAAACATGCGCGTCGCCTCTGCCTCCTCCTCGTCTGTGTAGATCCCAGCTAGCTTTGAAGTATCTGGACCCTGCCTTCAGTCCTCTGACCAACGCTCTGGGCGAGGACCTGCAGAACTCCTCGAAATGGACCTACAACAGCTCTGCTTTTCTACAGCTGAAGTAGGTTTGTGGTGTTTTCTTTTGGGGGGGTGGGGGGGTTGTCTTCTGAAGCCCAGCATGCTTACTGCAGTGAGCACCAGTAGAGAAATGTTACTCAGTTAGAAATTAGCAGCAAATCATAAAATCTCAAATCTGAACCATTTCAAATTTCACAGGTTGTGTAGACATATTGTAAAAAAAATGTTATTTTATACAATAGCATTAAATATAAATAAGTCAAACCATTAAAACTGGGACGCGATCAGCAGTTTGTTTCCCAAATGGTATTAACTTTTAAAGCAATTTGAAAGAAATGAATGTCAGGTCATTTAATAGTAGAATTTTGTTTTGCGTTTTGTATCGTCCGAGCGTGTTTTAAATAACTCTCAGGTCTCCTCTTGTATTTTTCCAGTCGTGCGGCTTGGATGGTTTTGCTTACAATCCTTAAATCGAATCTTACATCTCTCACAGTCGCCGTGTCCCAGCAGAAGCAGAAGTAGCTTTTGAGCAACCAGGGACCAGAGGTCGCATTCAAAAACAAAATGCTTGCTTTATGTATTTAAATATCAAGTAACGGAGGCATCAGCGTCAACAGTCCGCTTCATCTGCACCTTAATCTTGTTTAATGGAGATTTAAATGAACCCTAGTACTAACAGATTTTAATGGATTTGTTATTCATGATATTTGTTTCAATATTACGTTCCTAATGGAACAATGCTCACACTTTAACAAAAATATATATTTCAAATTTTTCAAAAGTTATTCTGTCAGATGCAGATAATCCAAATTAGACAATTTGAGTTATTGGTTTATGTTTATTTTTAATTTTGTTGAACTGTGCCTTTCAAAACATTTCAAAACAAAAGTTGAAATGCTTCCCAAACTCAAAGTTTACACTAGCTGGAGGTAGTAGATTCCACACCTGTGGTATGCCAGTGCTTTTCATACATATGCTGGCTTCATGTTTAAAGTATTCTGTCCCTCTAGAACCACAACGTTTCCAATCCATTGTACTGCACAGGTATTTCTATTATTCTGTCTCCTTGCAGAAACGAGATCTCTCAATACATTGACATCCCCCACAACTTCACCCTGACCAGAGACTCAGTCCGAATCGGACAGCTGATGCACTACGACTACTCCGGCCACAAGTACGTTTTCTCCATCGGCGAAAACTTCCGCTCGCTCCTCCCCGAGGTCTCGCCGATCCTCAACAAGCACTACAACGTGTGCGCCGTGGTCGGCAACAGCGGCATCCTCACCGGCTCACGCTGCGGCCCCCAGATCGAGAAGTTCGACTTTGTCTTCCGATGCAACTTCGCACCGACCGAGATCTTTAAGAAGGACGTCGGGCGTCGGACCAACATGACGACCTTTAACCCCAGTATCCTGGAGAAATACTACAACAATTTACTGACTGTGCAGGACAGGAACAACTTCTTCCTGAGCCTGAAGAAGCTCGACGGCGTCATTCTGTGGATCCCGGCGTTTTTCTTCCACACGTCGGCCACGGTGACGAGGACGCTGGTTGACTTCTTCGTGGAGCATCGAGGTCAGCTGAAGGTCCGGCTGGCCTGGCCCGGAAACATCATGCAGTATGTCAACAGGTGAGACACCTAGTAAGACTGCGGACATTGACCACAAAGACCCCATCTGTGGATATTATTTTACGACATCTTAAAATGAATCCCTGCAATTACAATGTGCTATTAGTAGTAGATCGTGTGGTTCAATTGTTTCTCATATGGCAAAGAGGAGATCTAGGCTCTAAAGCCGTATTATAAGGAGACAGCTATTTAGTGAAAGGTATGGCACAGAGCTGCCACGGTGTGTGTGTGTGTGTGTGTGCGTGTGTGTGTGGAGGGGATTTAAGTCTAGTGCTTAGTGTTGTTGCAGCAGAATAGGCGGCTCATACAAAGACCTAATCTTCACCAATCCCATTAAACCTACCTGCTCTGGAAGAATTACCACGTTCGGGAAGCTCAGTCGGCTTTCAGCACCTCAACGACTCTTAGGAGATAGTTTTGTTGAGACAGATTTGGAGAGTTCCCCCTGTGGGATTCTGCAGAGGAGGACCACCTGATCAAAAACACCAGCGGTGGTCCCAATAGGTTCATTTTTTTAAATTTAATTCATTTTATTTTGTAAAGCCCCAAATAAAAATAAAATTAAAAATGATCCTCAGAAGGCTTTACAGTACACATGCGACATCCTTTGTCCTAAAACCCTCACATCAGCACAGGAGAAACTGAAGATGAAAACCAGAAAATGAAAACCCTTCCATGTTGAAAAAAGAAACCTCAGTGAGAACGTCAGAGGAGGATCCGTCTCCTGATGGACAGACGTCAATGGATGCCATGTGCACTCACGTTGAAATTGTATTGATTGTTATCTTCACTTGTGCTCAACAGCTACTGGAAAACCAAGCAGCTGTCGCCGAAGCGCCTGAGCACCGGCATCCTGATGTACACGCTGGCATCCACCATGTGCGACCAGATCCACCTGTACGGCTTCTGGCCCTTCGGCTGGGACCCCAACACGGGCAAGGAGCTTCCGTACCACTACTACGACAAGAAGGGCACCAAGTTCACTACCAAATGGCAGGAGTCCCACCAGCTGCCCGCCGAGTTCAAACTGCTCTACAAGATGCACACGCAGGGACTGCTGAAGCTCTCCCTCTCCCACTGCGCTTAGGCCTCAAAACGGGGTCTGCAGACCTTTCGGACTCCTCTCCTGAGCTTCCTCCAGGTGTCATGATGGCTTCTCGTTGGTGCACTGGGAACCGTTTGGACGGTACAGCCACAGCGCACGTGACAAGGAGTTCTCCAGAATCTGAAGACCAACGCGGATGGAATTTGGGGAGACGCATCTTCGCTTTGCTTCAACCTTGAATCGCTTCATGGTGTTTATGGCAACTTGTCACTCTTAGGACTGCGAGTACAAATAAGACTGACATGGACGCTGCATCAGAGGAGGTCGATTCCTCCTCCAGTTCTATGAAGGTAGACGCAGCACGAAAGCACAAAAGTTGAACCCGGCTCAAGTTTTGCTGTAATTTGACGTGGTGCCACAAAGCAACACGCTGATCAGGCCGATCCAATATAGACAGAAGCGAATGCAAACGCAGAGATTGTCACCCTGACAATATGTTTCATAGTTTGTGAAACAGTTGTGTTGTTATAAACCGCAGTGCAGTGTTTTGGCATCAAAGGACCCTTTAAACATGTAAATCAGTTCATCAAAGTAGACTCCCTCCGTTGTATTTAATTGTACGATTCTCACCTGAAGCGACCAGAACTGTTTTAACACCGTGCTGCTGTCGGTCTGATGCCCGTCTACACAGCAGTGTGGTCCTTTGTAGTTCGTAACCTGTAGTGTGAAGGGAAAAGCATCAATCTTGGGTCACTACTTTGATTAATCGCATTGAGCATTAGGGCCACGTTCAAATAAATGTGGGATGCGCGACAACTGAATAATTCATCTTAGTTCTGAGTCAATCTGCTGACTTTGCACTCCAAAACTAAAAATGATGATCTCATTCTGTTTTTAAATTCACAACTCAAATATTGGTTGTTGGATGTTAACACATTTGCACCCACCAGCAACAGTAGTTGTGTTTGTTCCATTGCTCCATTAAATTAAGGTATTTGGCAGAAGTTTTAATAAATAATACAATTTGAATACAATAATAGCGGCACGGTGGCGTGGTGGTCAGCGCCGTCGCCTCACAGCAAGAAGGTCCTGGTTCCACTCCGCCCAGCGGCCTTTCTGTGTGCAGTCTGCATGTTCTCCCCGTGTCTGCGTGGGTTCTCTCCGGGTTCTCCGGCTTCCTCCCACAGTCCAGAGACCTGTTCTGGGGATCAGGTTGATTGGTGACTCTAAGTTGCCCGTAGGTGTGTGAATGGTTGTATGTCTGGCTGGTGACCAGTCCAGGACGAACCCCGTCTATCGCCCGAGGTCGGCTGGGACAGACTCCAGACCCCCCGCCGCCCTGTGTGCAGGATGAGCGGTTTGCAGATGGATGCAATACAATAATAATCACATAGATAAGCATTTAGTCCCATGGTATAAAATATTTGACTTGTCATTATTGTTAATGCTGTGGTTGAAAAATGTAACATACAATAACTTTATAAAGTTGTTACTTCGTATGAACACGTACAGCAGACACAGAGGAACATCAACATCGTTTAAGTTGTTTTTGGGTCCGGCTGATGAATGTAACTCCAGTATTTACTCTCTCTTAGCTCTATTTTTTCATCTCTGCCAACTCCTGGGAGAAATATTTGTCTCTGGAGCTGCTAAACGCTCCCCTTTCTTCACCAGCAAGTCCTTAAGCGTTTGCCAATTAAAGCCAGCAGGAGTCTGAGGTTCCAGTAGAATATCTTCTCTGGCACTGCACAAGAGTAAATTACCCAGAGCCACGGCTCTGTGACATGTGGGACAATTCAAGCCTTCACCACAGCAGCATCTAGCACAACCGTCACTTGTGTGCACTGCACAGACTCGGTCGGCCTGTGTGTCCATGAGACCCTCTAACAGACAAGAAGGAGCACAAAGAGGGATGTTGGATTCCACCACATCCATGTAAAACCGTTGGATAAGGCAGGACTGTTTGCTGACACCGTAAACTGTACAAACGGTGAGATCCCCATGGCATCAAATCTGAAGACACACTTTGAGAAAATGCCGAGACATCGAGAGGAATAAAAGCCTTCTGGCTCTGTTATGTTCAAATATATTTAGTGAATGTTGGTTTTATTTCAGTGTGACAGCCTTACTTGGTAAAGATTATTAGTGTTAGCTAGCTGGTTGTGTAGCCGAGACTATGCAAGTCATCAGGAGGATTCACTTTCAGCCAGTTTCTTTCTTCCACTTGTGGTAAAGTCTTATATGAATATCGCCTAATTAGAGCTACATGCTATTCAGCACCTTCAGCTATGTTCACTTTACGAGGGACCAACGTACCAGTTTGTATCTTCACGTTACAGGATTACAAGGAAAATGACTTGTCGTTGGCAGTGTGAACGTAGCATCGCTTTCCACATGAATGGAAAAGTCCTGCAGCTCCTGCTGCGGCCAAGACGGCTCATCCAGAAGTTTGGGAAGAGTTGCAAATTGCCAATCAATTCCAACCCAAACAGGCTGGTGATCCTGGAATTAGAGTCCAGACTCGGTCGATCTGATATTTTCCATATTGGGCTGGCAGGGGCCTTTCATTTTGGACTAATCCTAGTTTTATGTCAAAATGTCATTGCCAATCTAATCTGCATTGCAAACATATCGAACAGATCAAGTTGCCCTGAAGGTCTTCGTAATCATCAGATTATTTTAATACATCACATCACATGTCATTTATCTGACGCTTTCATCCAAAGCGACTTACAATAAGAACATTTCAACCATAAGGACACAAACTCAGAAAAACAAGAAACAAGAAAGTGTGATTTCATCAAATAAGCCGATTAATAACTTGCTGTAGATAAGAACCATTATAAGTCCAATGTAAGTGCTACAGTTAGTGTGTTAGTGGAGGTAGAGTGTGAAGAGGTGTGTCTTTAGTCTGAAGATGTGAAGGCTCTCTGTGGTCCTGATGTCACCACAATAACACAGTATTACTGTAATGACTGTATTACTAATACAGATTGGCCTTCAAGGTCCAACACAAGAATATGGGGCACTAGAGGAGGCCACACATTGTCACCGTCATGAATTTCAATTTGTAAATAATACCTACAAGTGTTTGGTATCAGACAGCAGGACTATCTTCAGACCAGTAGGAGACCAAACAGAGCTGTGCAGCAATTGGTCTGAATTCTGGCTAAAGTGAGTGAAGGCTTGTTGGGAAGTTTCCTACACGGATCAGCACACGACTGTGGCACCTTTGTTCTGTGGTAAGAAGAGTTTTCTTGTCCATCAAGTGTGTGATAAGTGTGAGTGTTTGGAATTAAGGATTTGAGACGGTCGGTGATATTTGCTCCAGTGTTGCTGGTAGAGGCTGATTCATGACACACACACACACACACACACACACACTCACACACACACTCACACACACACACACACACTAAAAAATAAGATTAAACTCTTATTTTATAATACTGGGGGTTTTCTTTTAGTTATCAACATGTACATTCATTTGATTTTTGTCCTATTTTTTTCAAAATCTATTTTTGTAATATACAATCAGTTGTTATCAGGTAACATTATTCCAGAATGTTGTTTTTTCCTCTTTGAATATCATTAATGAAGCGTGCTCCAACCGTATCAACATGTCTGTAGAGATTGGTCTGTGAAGGTTATTAGATATTATAACAGCAATGTTTAACAAAATGTTTTATTCATCCACTACTTGAAAGAAAATATATATTCTCTGTATGTATTTAATTATTGAGTCATAAAATGAATTAAACTATCCATTTGACAAAGTGAATATGGTGTTGTTTTGAGTGGACTGTGGATGGTTGTTTTAGGAAAATATTTTATGTTCTAATTACAAAATGAAGAGCACATGAATTGTCCTCTCAAATCGCTGGCCAGCTAAACGTGCTAACGCCACGAAAACACTACACTACGTTTGCAGTGCTGAAAGAGCTAACGTGCTAACCCGAGGGTTAGCCACCGGCTAGGCATCCGCTCTGACCTCACTAAAACCTCAAATCATCGAGGCTTCTAGTCCCCGTTGGGCTGGAGACCGACTGTGGCTCCTCCATCGTTCCACCAGTCTTCATCTGAAGCGCTGGTCTTACTTTCTGTTCCATGGGCAACAGGACTGAGCCAGAACCAAAGGGCAGACGTGTGTCAATGTTTCCCCCTTTGACCCAATCAATCAATGTGTGTGTGTGTACGTGTGTGTGTGTGTGTGTGTTCATATCTTTTGTCAAAATAACTCTTCAAAACTAAACAACAAAGCTAAACAGACAACATAGAAATACACAAACACGCACACGTTTTAAAATGTTAAAATGCCCTTTTCCAAAAATGTACTAAATCCTCAAAATACTCACAAGAATATAGAATGTACGGCATTAAAACTAAAGATCTCTTGAGAAATGCGAACAGAGATGATGTCAGCAGCAACGTCGATACTGTGCTGCTGGGTTTTAGGGAGTGTGGTTAGAGGTCAGAGGTCAGAGGTCAGGGAGCCTCTTCTGAACTGTGTAGGGGTTCAAAGAGGAGGACGGGTCAAAGGGGATTGGTCGGAAGTTGTATAGATAAATATATTATACAGTATTTGTTATTTCTATAAAAACATGAACAATCCTTATAATATGAATATTTACTTAATTTGCTTAAATAAGTCTGTAATATGATACTGAGATCATTGATTTAAGAATAAAATGTAGCATTTAGAGAATGTTAAGTGTGATAAATGTGTGTGTGTGTGTGTGTGTGTGGTTCTATTAGTAACCTATACACACGTGTACATAATAAACTAATCATTCTATTGCCCTCACAGTCCAGATTTATCTCCTACGCTATCCCATAATAACTACACAAGCAGATCTGATATATTAATAATGATCACAATAACATTTAACTAAGTAACCAAAGTTAAACTAATAACATTAGGAAATACGTTCATTACATGTGTTTTTTTTGTGTGAGGACCAGAAACAAGCGTCACAAGAATGTAGGTCAGCGTGTATGTAAATGAGAGGGGTCAGATGGCGTGCGCTGAGGGTAGCTGACCTTCGACCTCTCCCCCTTTTAGCTGCTTCATGTCATCAGCTGGTAACAAAAGAAAACCCGCAGGAGTCAAAAATTGGATTTGACGCCTTGGTAATCTTCCCCGATGGGATTATCCTTCTTTTGAACAGAACCATTTTTAAACAATCAGTTGATATTTGGTGTTTAGTAAGATAATTAAAATAATTCTACAATGCTGTCAAAAACAAATTAGGTTTAAGAAACATATATAATCGTCTTGACTAAAAGACAAACAAATTGTAGCATTTAAATTGTACTTGTGGCTTATTTGTGTCCTTATGGCTGAAATGTTCTTATTGTAAGTCGCTTTGGATAAAAGCGTCAGCTGACATGTGATGTAATGTGATGTTTTTTCCTGCAATAAAAATAAAGTGCAGTCAATGTATCATCCGTTTTTTGTTATAGTTACTAACCCTTTTATGTAAAAAAGGATTTTGTATGATCTGGGGACAAAATTTGAAAAGATGAAACTTCGTGGGACAATAATGTCACAGATGAAACGTGATGATTAAGAAGATTTGTTAAAGTAGAGAGAGAAAATAAGTGTTGTTGTCACAATTAAATGACAATTACAAAAACTTTATTGATTCCCTCAAGAGGAAACAAGGTCACCGCACTCAAAGACAAGCTACATGCAAACAGTTATACATATATATTTATAGAGATTTAAAATAAAAACAGCAACACAGTTAAGAAATGGAGTTATGGAAGAAGAATAGATTAATCATTTAAATTGTGTGTGTTTGGTTGTTCTTTGGTAAATAAATACATATTAATTACACAATGAACAAGTTAAGAAAAATCAGCGTCCAAAGCAACATAATAATGATCATCTTATTTGTATTGCGTTTTATAAGCTACTCAAAGCACTTTACATGGTAGGAAAGAGGAACATCAGAGGCAATAAACACAAGCTGTGACATCAGTGACAACGAGCATCACCAGTTAGATGAGCTTCAGTCACC